TCGGTTTTTTTTTTAGACTAGCCAAGTACAGTAGTGAGGGAATTGTTTAATGGCAATTCCATTAATTTCTTTCATGGTGAATGTTTCCATTTGCTTTTTTTTTTTTTTTAGACAGAGTCTCGCTTTGTTGCCCAGGCTAGAGTGAGTGCCTGGGCGTCAGCCTAGCTCACAGCAACCTCAACTCCTGGGCTCAAGCAATCCTCTGCCTCAGCCTCGAGTACTGGACTACAGGCATGTGCCACCATGCCCGGCTAATTTTTTCTATATGTATTAGTTGGCCAATTAATTTCTTTCTATTTATAGTAGAGACGGGGTCTCGCTCTTGCTCAGGCTGGTTTCAAACTCCAGACCTCAAGCAATCCGCCCGCCTCGGCCCCCCCAGAGTGTTAGGATTACAGGCGTGAGCCACTGCACCCAGCCTCCATTTGCTTTTAAAGCTGGAAGGATGATTACCTTTTCATTTCAAATTACACTTATATAACACTGTCCTCCAGTGACACATTTAATAAAAGGTTAACATTTCATAATGATCATTAATTCTGAAGGTGCTTCCAATTGTAAAAGATATAGCAAAGTAAACATACCTGAAAGACTGCAAAAGAATTCACAAACATGCCTAAATAATAGCCTGTGTTATAAAACTCCAACTCATGGACCACCTAAGGAGAAGATAAAATACACAGAATGAATGGATTCATATCAACCTTTCACAATATTTCTTATAAGTAACTTAGATAAGACATAGCCCTCATGCTTATCAAATCTAAAAGTGACACAAATCACAAGGAGTAATGAATATGCAAATGCTTTGTTCATGAGTCAATCAGTCAAAACTACATTTTTTTTTAATTTAATCTTAATTTCACTCTTTTCAGCAACTCAGAATTCCTATGAAGTCTGGACTTCAGTTTTCCCTAGAAGGAACTTAAATGTCACTATTTGAAAACAATAATAGGTAGAGGCCAGAGTTAAAAATGACCCATACTTTTGACAGAGATAAACAGGTTAAATTTGATGAAGATTAATATAAGCTTTGCAAAGTGTCAGTGACCTAAATTTTTTAAATAACCTAAAGAGGTAATTCAGAAAGGAGAAAATATGAATTATTAATAAGCAGAAATATTCTGCCTCATTGATAAAGCAATGCAAATTACAACATCAATGAGATATGTTTTTTTCAATAATGAGATATTTGCATGTATCACATTAGCAATGCTATTTTTTTTACTAGTCAAATGCAGTAGTGAGAAGGGAGAAAGACTAGAACAAGTTCAATCTGTAACTGACTGTGAACAATCAAGTGAGATAACTCACTACCTTTGGACCAGCTAGCAATGCTATTTGTTTAGAACAGTTCTCATTTCTAGCAAGAGTGGGTAAAATAGGCTAAAAGAGGGAGCAAAATTAGCAGTTACTCAAAAAGTTAAACATAGAATTAGAAAACAACTCAGTAATTCCAGTCCTAGGAATATACCCAAAAGAACTGAGAACAACAGAAACTCAAAGAAATATTTGTATACCAATGTTCACTGCTGCATTAGTCACAATAGCCAAAAAGGTGGAAACAATTCAAGTGTCCATCAACAGAAGAATGTATAAATAAAATGTGGTGTATACACACAATGGAATACTATTCAGCCATAAAAAGAAATGAAGCTCTGACACATTCTACAACATGGATGAACCTTGAAAACATTGTGCTAAGTGAAACAGCCAGACACAAAAGGTCAAATATTATATAATTTCATTTATGTGAAATATCTAGAATATGCAAATTCATAAGTACAGAAGTAGACTAGAGGTTGCCAAGGGCTGGGGGCAGGAGGAAACAGGGATTTATTGCTTAGTGGTTCCAGAGTCTCTGGGGCCGTGAAAAAGTTTTGGAAACAGAGAGTGGTGATGGCCATCCAACACTGTGAAGCAATTAATGCTACTGCATTATACACTTAAAAATGGTAAAAATGGCAAATTTTATGTTATGTATATTTACCTACAATTTAAAATTTTAGATATTATAACCTTTTTAAGTAATTATTTTGATACTTCTCCCTTATCGACATTAGCATTAACTAGACAAGACAAAGGTAGGATTAGAAAGCATGACAGAATCTAAGTACAAGTTGAAAAAACACATTCTGGCATAAAATTAAACACCTGTAACCACCGTTTCTGCTATGCTAACAACCACCACAGCTACGTCCACAGTAAGCTACTAGAACAGGCACCAGTAAAAAAACAATAGAAAGAGAAGACAGAAAATTTCATAATGTCTCAACAGGCTGGCAAACAGAGTCAGCTCAACTACAGATGATGGAGCCAGAGCCAGACGTAACGAGGAGAAAAAGTTCTAGTTCCAGGACTCCAGCTCTGCCACAAAATACAAATACATAAGGATTTGCATCTGCTCCCACGCAGGCATGACAGATAGCAATATTCAAGAAGCAGCATCTAAACAGTGGTTACCAGGGACAAGGGGAGAAGGAAGGAAATGGGAGATACAGGTCAGAGGGTACAAAGTAGGATAAACAAGTCTAGAGATCCAATTTACAACACGAGAACTACAGTTGATAAAATTGTGTGGTATTTGGGGTTTTCTATTAAACAAGTAGATTTTAGGCATTCTTGTCACCAAAAAAACAAATAGCTACGTGGTATATTAATTTGCTTCACTATAGTAAGCATTATACTATCTGTATGTATCCCATAGCATCATGTTGTAAACCTCAAATATACATGTTAAAATTTGTTTTTTAAATAAAGCATCTATCTCATTTTTAAAAATCCTCCTTTTCTCACTTACTTAATAAAAATGCACTTTCAAAGTTGCAGCACAAGCTAATGACGAGAAGACTGGTGTCTAAAAATTACCCCTGGCAGATGCAGTACACTTAAGTCACGCCAAGGCATTCAAGAGGCTCTCAGCAGCACATACAAACTTAACAAGAAAGAAAGAAGCCAAAACAGTTTATTATCAGGGGCTCCTGACTCCCTCCCTCCAGAGCCAACTCTGGAGAAACAATAAAAGCAGCAGGAAACTTGGATAACCGGGATGAGAAAAGCCCTGGAAGAGTAGAAGATAGCTGGAATTGGTGCTGGAAGAAAGTGGGTGGCTTCAGTCTGAGACAGAAGGCAGCTAAAGGCAGCAGTCAGAAGACAGGCTGGAGGAAAGGTTTTTAAATTCTGCCCTTGCTTCTCTCCAGGGGGTAGCCTCAGGACAATCATTCCTCCCAACTTCACTGCCAAAATCAGCAGCAGACCCAACGCCTGCTCAGGTGTCCCGAGGATAACACCAGGTCAGCAGTTCTGACCTTCTGGTGTGGGGAAGTAGGGAGAACATGTAGACAGACCCATGGCCCTCCAGCGTTCACTCTTCTTCCCCTCCCTCTTCAAACCCTCAGAGCTCGTATATCGCAACCTCAAGAGACTCTCTCTTCTTGGTGCTGTTTTCCCCGAAGGGTTTAAGAGTGAAACTGAACAGAGGCAGGCAGCAGAGAGGCAGGCAGCAGACAGAATCAAGAGTAATTCTCAACTCAGGCGCGGTGGCTCACACCTGTAATCCTAGCTCTCTGGAAGGCCGAGGCAGGCGGATTGTTCGAGGTCAGGAGTTCAAAACCAGCCTGAGCAAGAGCGAGACCCCGTCTCTACTATAAATAGAAAGAAACTAATTGGCCAACTAATATATAGAGAAAAAATTAGCCGGGCATGGTGGTGCATGCTTGGGCATGGTGGTGCATGCTTGTAGTCCCAGCTACTCGGGAGGCTGAGGCAAGAGGATTGCTTGAGCCCAGGAGTTTGAGGTTGCTGTGAGCTAGGCTGATACCACGGCACTCACTCCAGCCTGGGCAACAAAGTGAGACTCTGTCTCAAAAAAAAGAAAAGAGTAATTCTCTAGTCCATGAGGCTGGACTCCACTCTTTAAATCACAAGATTTACACAGATTGGAAACTTACACAGATAGGAGCCTGATGTTCAGCCTTCCCCAACAAATATTATCAAAGCAGATACCAAATGAAATACACTTCTAAACCTTAAAATTTGTACCCCCAATATGCTGAAATAAAAAAAAAAAAGACATCCAACTAGACATACCTCATGAGATGCAAGATTACTGAAAAAGTCAACTCAAGAATTCAAAATAAACCAAATAAATATACATAAGGAGATGAGAGGAGATAGGAACAATAAGAAAATAAGAACAAAAAATAAGAACCAAATAAAAACAATAGATATCAAAAATATAGTAGTAAACATGAAAGACACAATACAAGGGATCAAAATAGGATAGATACAGCTGATGAATGATCAGTAAGCAGGAAAAGTCAACTGAGGAGCTCCCTTAGAGAAACACAGAAAAGACAAAGAGACAGAAAACACAAAACAAAAAGCTAAGAGATTATGAAGGATGGAAGTAGAAGTGCCAGCTTCTGAACAACAGGAGTCCCAGAAAAAGAGAAAAAATAAAATGGAGAGGGGGAAATATATGAAGAAATAATGGACACAAATTTCCAGAATTAAAAAATGAAGAAAGAGCATAGATTAAAAGGGCAACCTATAAGAACACAGATAAGAACACAGACTAAAAATCTGTACACCATCTGACTAGGGTAGGGGTGGAGGAGGACAAGGAGACAGTAGTAGACAAAAAAGATACAAAAAGCATACTAAAATGCTCATCTTGTTAGATGATAATACAAATATTGATAACCTTAAGAAATCAATAAGGATAAGGATGAATAAATCAATAAGGAAAAATACATACGGTTTAGGAGTCAAGGACATCTAACGTAGTAACAAAAATAGAATTATATAACCTTTAAACCAGCAAAACAAAATTTGATCTAGTCCCCAGAAAGAAAAAGAAAAAAAAAGGGAATAGTCTAAATTATTTTTAAATAGGAAATAAAATAGCAGAAAAAGTCCTAATTAGAACAAGAATTATCATATTTGTAAACGGGTTAAAGAGGCTTATTAAAAGATACTGACCATGAAATTAGTTTACAAAAACAAAAGCAAAATCGACAAGATACACTTAAAACAAAAACTTATAAAACACTGAAAATAAAAAGATGGAAAAATATACCAGGCAAATATAAATCAAAAGAAAGCTGGGATGGCAATATTAATATCTGACAAAATTTAATGTAAATATATATATTACATGTACATAAATAGAGACAACACACACAAAAAAAATATACATATATAGAGAAGAAAAATGAAATATATTTATCAAGCTATTTAGAAAGTGATAAAATAAGACATATTATAGTCAGTTAAATCAAATGCAAGGTTTAAAGACTTAAAATTTAAAGGATTTAAAGATTTAAAGAATATATGAATTTAGGAAACATTAAAGAGAAAAAAATGACCAATTGTTTTTTTAAAAGTTTTCTTAAAAAAAAGGACTAAAAAAATTAGTTGTATAAACTGAAGAAAATGTACAATTTTTCACAAGCGAATTATTTTTACAATATAATGACCAAATCAACTTAACAATATATATCTTTCTTCCTGATGTATTGGTAATTACCATACTGAACCAATTAGTGGACACAGATTATACAATCTATATTACAGCTGACAATGGCACAAAAGGATGTATTAAGAATGTATAAATAAAAATGAAGTTACTAATGAATATGAGATTAGTTTATGTAATGTTCACATACTTCTTGGTTCGTAAGTTTTCTGTAGATTGACATGATTTCACTACCTCAATAGACTGCAAATTCCTGATTCAGTGGGGACTATAATTAGTTATAACCATCATGTATAACCAAAATAGAAAGCACTTCAAAATTATCTAAAGCTCTCTCATCCAGCGTCTTACGGAATTGTGCAAATCAATTTTCTAGTACTTTCTTGAGTGTCTTAAATTAAAATGCAGTATGAAAATGAGAGAAAACTCTAGGTGACATTTCTTCTTTTTTTACTGTGTATATTTATGAGGTATAATATGATGGTTTGATGTATGTATACATTGTGGAATGATTCAATCAAGATAATTAACATATCCATCGCCTCACATACTTGCTATTTTCGTGGTAAGAACATTTAAAATCTACTCTCAGCAATTTTCAAGTATACAGGACAATATTGTTAACTACAGTCACCATGCAGTAAAACAGATCTCCAGAACCTTTTCCTCCGATCTAACTTTAGGTGGTATTTCTCATGAGAGACAACAGGCACCTGACCACATAGGCATCTTTCCAGCATAACCAATGTACGACAGATTCTTTTTTATTTGGAAGCTTTACTGATTATTGACTAATACAAGCAAAGGAACTATTAACAATAAGATTTCTTTAATTATTTAAATTAATACAATAAATACAATTAATATTTATATTAATTAACACAATATATTATTTATTACATTATTATTATATATTACAATATACAATTGTATTAATTAATACAATACAATAATACAATTAATACAATAAAGTTTCCTTTTTCTCTTTTAACATGTATTTTTGCAATGAAAAAAATAGCTAAACTCACATTTTCCATTGTGATATCATTTGAGGCATTCATCAGATTCACACTTTTGTCAACAGCTACGATCCCAACTACGGAGTCAGGCTGTGTCACAGAGATCCTAAGAGAGACTTTCTCAGATGGTTCAGCTTTAGTTTTACTCCAAAATAACTTTATCTAAGAAAGAGAGAAAGCAGGATTGACTTATTTCACTTTTTTAAAGCATTATTTACGTGTCTTACCAACAGTAGATCAATGACTCAAAATCTAGCAAAGAAGCTACATAATGCCTTTGCTCAGGGATAATCCTAAAACCATACATAACCCTTCTCTAGGGTTGCAAATCCCCACAGTGTTTGAAAGTCATGGAATGTCTCACAGTGGTATAAATTTGAATTATTCTTCAATTCTCTACTTTTCCTCTTCCTTTTCTCCATCTCCCACCTCTCAGCTCCCAGCTAGTGCTGAACGGAAGACAGCAGTGTCTAGCATACCTGGAGAGGGTCAGTATCAAAGAGGAGGAGCACGAAAGAAGAAAGAAACTGCAGATGTCTACATATTGGCAACATGGACTTAGGAATGAGTACAAGGAGAGCTCCCTGGAGGACTCACAGACCTACCTGGGCCGGGGGTAAGGGAGGGCTCTTTCCAAGGAAGAAGGTGGACAGACCAATCACTAGTCAGAACTCTATGCTCTGTGTCTCCATGGCTACCTGCGCTTCCTCTGTCACTACACTCATCAAAGCATGGTCCTACTAATACTTCATAAAGAATATCAATCATCTCATCACTGCTGAATAAAATGGCTTGGTCATGAGGCCCCTTCCTGCTGGGAGCTTTCATTTCACTAGCTGCGTCTCAACATTCTGCTGCAGCAGGGATGGGACTGGCCCCACCCCAAGAGCGCCTTCATGTTCTCCACAACTCGACTGAACTTGAGACAGGCTTCTTCCTGACTATAAGCTCCTGACCTCCTTTTTCTTAGAGCATTTACTTTAGAAAACTTGCAACTGTAAATTCTTTCTCTGCCCTTTTGAAATGTAAATCTCCCAGCCTGTTGCCAGTTTTACAAGCCAGAGCTGGGCTTTCATTTATCTATTTATTTCATTAGCTAGAAACTGACCCAGGACAAATTTTCAACCCATATCATCTTAAGTGGCCTCACTTCCTCCCATTATCCTTCATTTCACTCTCACACCAATATCAACACCATGTGAATTCTATATTGCCACTGGCCTTTCTGGAATTCCATGCCAAAGCGATATTTACTCAACCTTTTGAAAAATCCTGAAAAGGCTTCACAGATTTGAGTTAAAGTCCTACAGCCAGGAACATTTTACAAATAAGACCCTCAGTGCCCAGTGATTCCACCGGCAAAAATACTGACATAGTACTAAATATGAAGAGCTTCAACTATAGTTCTAGAAATGAACAGTATAAATTTCTAACCAATTTTGTTTAATGATACTTTTATAAAGAAATACAATATTTCTCAGACTTCAATAATATAAAGTTTTCTTTTAAACATCATTACCTTGAATCTTACCTTATTTTCAAAAACAAGCTGGACAGGAATTTTTAGAACATCATTTATAATTTCCCCATTATCTTCAACATAATACACAATTATACAGGCTTTTGGAGCCCAAGAATTTTCTGGTGTTAAAGAGAAAGTTGTTGAATTTTGTTTGCCTACAGCCACCAACTGTCCCCTGGATACTACCTGAAAAGAAGAATAGGTAAGTTAAATTTTTTGCTAAAACTAATAGGATCACAACTGAAGCTATGTTTATCATAATTTTAAACATATACACAAATTCTTGACTTAAATCAGCTTCAAAGTCTTTTTGAATACAAAAACACCTCCCTGACAAACACGGAAGAGTATTTTCTGGGAAACAGAAAATGATAAAGTTAAAGTGATACTGAGTGGAACAACAGTAGCTTCATAGTCAAGAATCATTTCTTGGCCCAGCGTGGTGGCTCACACCTGTAATCTTAGCACTCTGGGAGGCCAAGGAGGAAGGATAGCTTGAGGTCAGGAGTTCGAGACCAGCCTGAGCAAAAGCAGAGACCCCATTCTGCTAAAAATAGAAAGAAATTGGCTAGACAACTAAAAATAGAAAGAATTAGCCAGGCCTGATGGTGCACACCTGTAGTCCCAGCTACTCAGGAGGCTGAGGCAGGAGGATTGCTTGAGCCCCGGAGTTTGAGGTTGCTGTGAGCTAAGCTAATGCCACAGCACTCTAGCCTTGGCAACAGAGCAAGACTCTATCTCAAAATAAATAAATAAATAAACTATATATATATGTATATATTTTAAAAAAGAACCCATTTTTGATTGGAAGGAACACAGAGCTCCACTGGGAGAGCTGGATTAGCAAAATTTCAATGCCATGAATAGTAATCTTTATTGTCTTTTCCGTTTTTCTTATATTTTATAATTTTCTACAATGAATATATGTGGTTTACCCAATAGAAATTTAGATTTTAAACATAATACAGGCTTTAATTTTAAACATTTTAAACTGAAAATACAAATATAGGTGAAGGACGAAAGAAGATATTTTGATTGTAATATAAAAAGGACAGGCTAAAAAGGTGTAAGGCAAAATTTTAAAAATTAGTAAGTGCAGTGTAGACGTAAGGTAGGCATCATTTAAGATGATTCAATAATAGATCATAAATTTAGATTCTATAAGAAATTACCATATAGCTTAACTCCTTCCACTGTTTGTTGCCGCTAACCACCAGCTCAAAAGGTGATCCCACCTAGAAAAAACATCCTAATTAATACATACATAACAAAAGCAAGAAAGTCCATTATGCTGTATCAATAATTATCAAGTGAGCTATAAGCATTACCTGTATATTTTCATCCCTTGTTTTTAGCTGGATGTATGTCTTACTGGCAGAAGTAAACATACCATGCACTGCCATGCTACCTGTGCTGTCAAGAAAATCGGCCTATAACAAAAGAAAAGGGAGCTATAAATTTTTATCTCTAGTAATGCCTTGAGAAAAGATGCTACCCGTTGGTTGAACAATTACTGACAGCCAAATTCACTTTCACCTTTTTTCATGCAGAAAAAATATTAATACCTTCACCAGACATTGGAACCTCATCATTTTATGGCTTGTACTGTAAAGAAACTGATAGTTTTAAAACATGGGAAAGGGTCTTCACCATCATGACCTAAGAGGAAAAAAGCATAGTCCTGGCTCATTTCACAAACAATGGTATTTTTTCTGGAAACACTATGAGAAGAGGGAATGAAATGGGAAAAGATCCTTCCCTTCTCTCTACAGCACACACACAGCTCATACACAAGCAAAAAATCTTTATCGCCTCACTGGACCCACCAATGTTCAGAGTAAAAATCAAACAGGCCACATCTGAGGAGCAGCCTGCTCCGCCAGAGCCCTGACTTGGGCAGGGCTGTGTAACCAAAAGAAAGGAGGCAGAAATGGTTGGGGATTCTCAGACAAGCCACTCTGGGAAAGAGAGCTCAGCAAAGGTATATAAGTATGAAAACCATATATTCTGCTTTCATTTCAGCTCCTGCCAAAATAAAATTTCAAATGACTGAAAATCAACCTAGGCCGGGCGGCGGTGGCTCACGCCGTAATCCTAGCACTCTGGAGCCTGAGGTGGGCGGATTGCTCAGGTCAGAGTTCAAACCACCTGAGCAAGAGCAAGACCCTGTCTCTACTATAAGAAAGAAAGTAATTGGCCAACTAATATATATAGAAATTACCGGGCATGGTGGCGCATGCCTGTAGTCCCAGCTACTCGGGAGCTGAGCAGCAGGATTGCTTGAGCCCAGGAGTTTGAGGTTCTGTGAGCTAGCTGACGCCACGGCACTCACTCTAGCCGGGCACAAGCGAGACTCCGTCTCAAAAAAAAAAAAAAAAAAAAAGCGAGACCTGTCTCAAAAAAAAGAAAAAGAAAATCAAACCTAGAGTTTGAGCTTCTCCAGCGTATCTCCACGTTGCTATATTTCACTGTGCCCTTCAAAATGAACTAACAAGGAAACATTCCATCCAGCCCTGAGCCACAGTCATTAAATTACTTTTAACATTTTCCCCCATTTTTTTTTAAATAGAAAGATGTGTCCACTCCCTATGCACTTCAAGCTCTGACCACGTTGAGTGCCCACCACGAGATTACGATTTGTAACAGTGTTGCTGCATTGACATCATGATGGGAAACAGATGGTACCTTCAACTGCAGCTCACTGGAATCCTGCAGGATTGGAAACTCAACCTTAAAGACTCCATTTTGGGGGACAGTATAATTTACGACCTGGACAGGTCCCATTTGCTGATTTCTACGGTCCCATCTGCTCCAGTGGTCGGTATAGTTTCTCTGTGTCACTGTCACGACAACATTATTTCTTCTTTCTTCAAGAGTCAGTGGATTGCCGTCAGAACGGGTTACCTTCACCTAATTGTCAAACCAAGACATTTTAAAACCAGGTAACCAGGGAAGCAAAGGATTTAAGTGCAATTGAATCCAGTTTCCATCTGAACTATTCCCATGAAATTGAACACTCAACAATTAATTGGTGGCACTCTAACTCCAGACTCAGTGGCCTATCTCTAAAGGCACCCGACACTGCCGACCACCTTCTTCTTAATATCATGGCTTCCTTTGCCTTCCACGGCTCCACACAGCCTCCTTCACTTCCTACTTCTCTTTCTGAATCTTTTCAGTGTATTTTTTGGTTCTTCTTCCCTCTCTCCAAATGTGGGAATTTGACAAATTATTAGTCATCTGGTTTTCTCTTTTCCTCAAGGTCTCAGTACTCCTAAGGCTTAGTTTGCTCTTTGTGATTGAGTCCTAAATCCAAAATTTCTATCCTCATCTTGATCCAGAGCTCATATCCAATACCTCCAATTCCTAATTTTTACTTGGATATCTTAGTCATCTCAAATTCACACATCTAAAATGGAGCCACCACCTTGCTTTTCCTATTTTTGCTAACATCAAGATTCTGGCTGGCCGCGGTGGCTCACGCCTAAAATCCTAGCACTCCGGGAGGCTGAGGTGGGCAGATTGCTTGAGGTCAGGAGTTCGAAACCAGCCTGAGCAAGAGCGAGACCCTGTCTCTACTATAAATAGAAAGAAATTAATTGGCCAACTAATATATAGAGAGAAAAAATTAGCCGGGCATGGTGGCACATGCCTGTAGTCCCAGCTATTCAGGAGGCTGAGGCAGCAGGATTGCTTGAGCCCAGGAGTTTGAGATTACTGTGAGCTAGGCGGACGCCATGGCACTCATT